AGCTAGGATTATTAATCGATTGAAAATGATGGCGACCACAGGTATGATATCATCAGTGCATTTATATTATCTCATATTTCGTATTACAAACAACTGTAATGTTTTACGTAAATATTAGCATTTAATTTAAATTCGTCAATCTTTGTTCTATGGCAAGTACTTTTTCAATAAATCATACATAATATGTATTATAACAATAAAGGAAGTGTAAAATAAAAATATTTAACGTCTGCAGATAAAGCAATAAAATTAAAATATTGAAACTATACAAAATTAAAGCTTTATTACTTTTTTATTTATTTTTTAAATAGTTTTTCAGTTAAGTTACTGCAATTGTTTTTATCAAATATTTCATATATTTAAATAAATGTTTTTGAAAAAATGAGTGATCAAATCGCTTGATATAGCCGGTAAAAATGCAGAAAATATGCATTCGTTACATAAGATAAAACTAATCTCATGTATAAAAAGATTTTATATTCATTTTTATTCGCCTCTAATTATATACTTTGAAGAAATAAATATACATAAATTATTTGATAAACAAGAAAACTGAATAGAGAAGAAATCATGCGAATGAAACTCACATCCAGCTAAGATGGCTGGTAGAATGACCCTGAGAAGGGCCACGTTCAACCAGTATGCCTTCGTCATGCCTCGAGGTGCCTGGATGGCCTTTCACCCTGAAACAAAGGAAACAGGGACGTAATGATTGGCTGTGCGCCTAAGAGCAAAACATCTTGAAATTTCTCTATGATTGTAAACATTTTGACATCGACAAGGGCAATCGAACATCTTTAACTTCATTTCGCCAAGAGACGCAATACTGGCGTTCCACGCTACGCTCTTCGCTTTACGATTGCATTGACCCTTTCAGACGAAAGACCCTGAAGTTTTTTTCATAAACCGGTTTTCACTGTGCTCCACATGATATGTTCCTCAAGTAGCCATAGTATAAACAGCATTTGAAGTTACTCAAAGTTATTTAGACAACAGGGCATCTTTCCAACTTTATGTGACTATCAGAAATTAACACTGAAAATTATTAGTTTATATCTTATTATTAGCAAATCAATTAATTATTTTTGTAAGTGCGTGTGTAACAGATCGCAATTAAGTAGTCGGGGACGGAATGAGATAATTGAAAGTTTCGGAAATGACTTGCCATTAAGCAATTCTGGGAACGAGAGCGAGTATGTTTTTGGCCGTGAGAGGATTCAGCAAAAAGAGGCGCGCCCACCTTAATTACGGGCCAATTACATAGGGACGACATCGCTGAAAGGTGCGCCGGTTACGCTTTTATCGTATGAAGATGTGAACGCGAATGGTGTATGCGGTAGAAAGAGGGAGAGAAAAGCATGACGTTGCGTGACGTATTATTTCACCATGAGCAATATCAATCAACTTTATAATTCCATGGAATCTGACAACAGTCTTTGTGATACGGCACACGAAAAAGAAAAGAAAATGGATAATTAAAAATCAGCGTTAATTGTTTTTGTAACAGACAATTCCTTTTTGTGTAACTTAAAGAGATATCTATTGTTAAAATAAGACTTATGAATAATAATATAAACACATTGATTTATTTTTAGTATCTGATTTTTCGAAAATTGAAAGATTCTTCAGTCTTACAATATAGCGCATGTCGTTTGATTTTCAAATAACAATAGTGATAATAATCATTTATAAAGAGAATTATATCTGCATCGAGTTACTTTTTCTGAAAGAATATCATTAATTCTATTTAATTTTCATAATGTCTTATTTATGGAATGTAACAGATTAATGACGATAGTATAAGATATTAATAATGATATTATTAATTTTTAACAGAATGAGTTTAAAATTTCTTATGATTTTTTTTGTGAAAGAAAAAATATATTATCGAATATTGTCAGAGATAACATCTAAGGTGCGTCTAATGGCTTTACTTATTGGACTGCACAGGGGAGATAAATTGGGTGGAGCAAATGTTCCCCTATGATAAATAATATCATGATTGACAACGGTATATATACCGTGCATGATTCATGTGCAAACATAACAGTGTTTTTATCAAGATATCGAAGCTTTAGATTGAAGCTGCTATTGATAACCTTTCTATACATTTCTCTCGTTGTGCAAATTTTAAGAGTACATTGTCTTAAGGAGAGATATGTTCGAGATCGTATGCGTAATTCTCATTGAATGTCTTATACGTAGTTCGCACATGTGTCACGTGTCGTATTTTAATTAGCCATCTGACTTGGCTGATGTGTTTACTTGAATCGTAAATACTCGAAGTATGCTAATCAATAACGAAGTATGCTAATCAATAACGTGTAGATTTTGTTAAAATTACATGATGAATAATATGTTGTTTCTTTACTTAAAATGTATGGAGAATTTCACAATCATGTAACCGATACCATATGTGTTCCATAATATAATAATATAATTAGAGGTATAAGAATTTTATTTCAATAAAATATTTGTTAGTATAGTATTTAATATTGCAATATTATTCGTGCAGTAACAGAATGTTTAAATTTAATTGTCGTGGATACAGCATAAATTATTGTATAAGAAATAAAATTTAATTATTTCAATAAGTAAATAATAAACTACTATATTACTAAAGAATTCGTCAACACCTATTATTACCATCATTGATTATGTCTCACAAATTATCGTCTCTGTCTAGCTATTGGTCAATCTGTGATCTAATAAGAAGAATTATTTTTAAATGCTGAGTAAATGTATGCGTGAATGTAATAACGTACAGAAGATGTGAACTTGTTATACACATATTTAGATTTATTATATATTTATTAATATATATTTGATATTTATTTCTTGTTTGTCTTGATATAGAAAACTATGTTTTGATTGAATTTCGCAGTAGGTAGTAATTTATGAAATGTGCAGTTTGCGTGCCGAGTTGATATGTTTCGTGTACAGATGCATATCGCACATCATAATGTGAGATTAATCAAGAGATTGCACATTTTAATTGCACTGTGAAACATTATGCTGGATTTCTATTTTTCTGGATGTTTTTGATAATTGCGATAGATTATCTCGATGTCTAAAACTATTTTTCAGCTTGTAAAATATATAAAAATGCTTATACATATATAAAAATATATATGTGTAATATTGTATTAAAAATATTATATACATATATATATATATGTATATATATTTATAAATAACAAATTTGTTTTTTAAATTGGTTCTTCTTTTTATCTTTTAAAGCAATTAAAAAAAAAGACGCTAAAATAGAATTTCTAGAAAATTTATAGATAAGCATTTATCAATGAGCTGTTAGCTATTTGACTTCCGTGACGCGCGTAGTTGCAGGTTAATTTAATATTAATTATTGCAATATAGTTCAAATTGTATTACTTAACAAACTGTAAATAAAATAGGAATAAGACGTGAATTACAGAATTTTACTACTACAAATAAAATATGCTATTCATATTACTTGTTAAAAAATAATCCGAGACAAATAAAATTAATACAAGATTTACTATAATTTATAGTGACTGTTTAGTATGTAGTACATATATAGAACAACAACGGTGTTGAATCTTTTTATATTTTTTGTTATCTTGCTGATAGTAATGCACAAATATATGTGGGAGGTTTTGTACACTTGCACGATTATCAGGTAGATAATACTAATTGTAAATGTTATACAATGCTCATATTCTAAATTCTTTGTCAATATTTTAAAGCATCTTTAAATTGATACAACACATATATAATTACACAAATATAATAAAATTCATGTTATATAAATAATTTATTGCAACCGCGTGTAAATGTTTTCTAAATTCTGCTTTTTTATTTAATAAGTATGTAAATATGAATATAAAAAATCTGACTACGCTGTGTTAAAAAAATTTGGACTACAAAATTGTGAGAAAAATTTCTCTTTTCGTAGAGAAATTTTTCTCAAAGTTATTTTTATTTTATGGATGAGTCTGAGTCAACACAGCATCGCAGACTGTTATACCGTCCTTGGTCGCGACATATATTTGCAGTGGCTCATGCTTCCGTTTACAGTAATTGTTGTCGACAATGATATACTATATGATAACGCAATCTTATGCCTGCATTGAGTACCTTGCTAACTTTGTCATTACTTTTTTTTATATTTATAATTTCTTTATATATTAGCAAATCTTACAAATTTATTGTCATAAATCCATTCATAAAGCTATTTATTACATACGGAGCAAAATAAAAGCCACTATCATAAATTTATTCCTAATTCTGTAATTTGTAATTTCAAACTTTATTTGCAAGCAGAGACCTTGTCAGTAGATATCTGTGACTACGAGAGGAAATTCTAAATCTGAGGCCAATCATTTTATTTAAAATGACAACATATATCATGCAATCTGTCACGTTTATTTTTTGACATGTTATACATATGTATATCTATTAATTAAAGAAAAAAAGGAGTCTTCACAGCTCCTAAATTAAACACGCCACAATGTGTTCTAAACACTGTTCGAGTTCCATCAAAGATTCTAACTGCTTCATGGCATCAAAGATCAACAAATACTGGAGCAAACATTCTCAAACGTTCCGCTGTTATTTTCGCATTTGCCTCCCGATTGCGTAAATCATTGTAATAGAAAATGGAGCGTACCTTATACGAGAGTACTTATACACTGTTTCGGAACATCCCCCTTCAAGAACTTTCTCCCAGCTGTCCTCGGACCGATCGAACTTCGAAGGGAGCAACATGCGCTTTAATTTCCGACAATGCTTTTCAGCAATCGCGAGAGCAACACATCACACTGTCACGATTAATGAACACACAAACGCACCACGTCCACGACACACTTAAGTACCGTGTACTTTCTTGTGATTTTATGAATGACAGCGCTCGTGCACGTCCACGTGTCATCTATTACAAAATCGTCGGAGCGTCGACCGACCCTCAATTCCCTTTTACATACGACTACAGCCGAGTTCAGCCGACCACCGACGTCTGGTGATCGACGCCGGTTTGCCACCGACTGGTTTGGTCGTTCAGACGCCTAGCCAAGGTTGAATCCGATATCCGCGTATGCTTGGTACGAGCAAAGCCTAGTGTGCATGCGCGATAACTTTGTGCGTCATCGACATTATCTTACACTAACGCGATTCTCTCTTCCTCGCCGTTCAATACTATTAATGGTAATTTAATTAAAAAGAACATTTTTCTATTTCGCTTTTCTTTCTTTTTTACGTCTTTAATATATATATATTTTTTTTCATATGATGACGATGAAGAAATTGTGTAATATGCATCTTAGAAAGAAGTGTGATTTAAAACTATACTATCATAATGGCTGGCGGAGATATGGAATCGGAGATAATATAATGTTATGCATATTATCCTATTTTACATTTTATTAATTTATTGCAAAGTAACGAAGTAATTTTTAAATAATAATGTCATGATCTTCACAGAGATGGCGCCTGATGTTCCTTTCTTCTCGTGCTATCCAAGAAGCAAACCATACTATAACGCGGTTGTATCAGCTCCTATATAGCGCCATACTATAATATACGCGTAATGCAGCTCCCTTATAAGAATAATATATAAATAATGTACAATTATAGGCAGTTCCAAGTACATACATAAATAAATATGAAAGCTACAAAACGAGTAACGGCAAATTCATTATTTAAAGTATTTCATATCAAAATTGTCGCTTAGACATTTAATTGTTTCATCATGTAATGGAAGATTGCGAGTATCGAGAATTTAAATCCCAACGGTATGCAGGTTGCCTTAATCCACGCCCATGCACTGTAAATAATGTAAATATACACATTTTAATAATGCATTAATGAGTGACAAACTCAGCTGTGTCACTAAAAGATTATTTGTTTAGATAAAGGCGAATGTAAAAAAAACCGGATAGTTTACGTCAAAAAATATATTTTTAATCTACTTTCTGAGCATATCAACATTTTAACGTAATTTTAACTTTTTTTTATATTTACGTCTACATAAGCAGTCATTTCATTTACATTATAATTAAATTAAGATAATTACTTTTTTTTCCTCTCAGTGTACGACTGCAGTCAAGTTCAGCTATTGATGTCTGATCGACGCCGGTTTGCCACCGACTGATTTGACTGTTCAGATGCCTAGCCATCAAAGTTGATTCCAAGATTCTTATGTACTCGTGTAAAAGAGAAATGTGCATGCGCGATAACTATAGTATGTCATCGACACTATCTTATATACTAATGCAATTCTCTCTTCCTCGCCGTTTAATACTTATTAATACTAATTAAATATTAATAGTAATTTAATTAAAATGTTTTTCTTCGCTTTTCTGTTTTTTCCACGTATTCAATATATATACATATATTGTTATATGATGACAATCAAGAAATTGTGTAATATGTATTTTACAAAAGTGTATATATTTTAAAATTATATGGTGGGCAAATATGAGATCAGAGATAATATGATGTTATATATATTATTCTCGTTTTATTAATATATTACATAAAGTAGACGAAGTAATTTTTAAATAATAATGTCACGATCTTTACAAAGATGGCGCTTGATGTTCCTTTCTTCTCGTGTTATCCAAGAAGTAAACCATACTATAACTTTGTGTCACCTCTATACGCGTAACTCTCTTATAAGAATGATACATAAGTAATGTACAATTATGTACTGTACTATATATATAAATAAATATGAAATTTGTAGATCGAGTAAAGGCGTAAATTTATTATTTAAAGTCAGTCTTTCATGTCAAAATTATCATTCAGACATTCAACTGTTTCATCATGTAATGGAAGACCGCGAGTATCGAGAAGCTAAATCCCAACGGTACGCAGGTCGCCTTAATCCACGCCCATGCACTGCAAATATGCACGTTTTAATATTGCATTAATGAATGATAAACTCAGCTGTGTCACTAAAACATTATTTGTCCAGATAAAGAATAAAGAATATAAAAAAGGCGGATAGTTTACGTCAAAGAATATATTTTCAATCTATCTTCCGAGCATATCAAAATTTTAACGTTTACTTTTATACTTACGTCTACATAAGCAGTCTTTTCATTCATGTATAATATAAAACAATCAAGAATATAAATTGTTCCGAAATATAACATCAATTATAATTGCGTACAGTAAAGCCTATAAAGCTATTAAAGCGCGTAAAGATATTTATAGCTTTATATATTAATGTTACTCAACTAATTAATTACTGTTGTGACAATTACGCCTCTTCAATTTCCAAGACTATGCAAACATAATTATCAACGTAGAGTTTATAATTATAATAGAAAGAAGCGCAACAATTTAATTAAGTTAGGGAATAGCCAAGGAAGGAAAATCAATTGAATTTTAAATAAAATTGAAAAGGTCCCACAGAAATAAACATTTAAATTATAAATAATATAAGGGCTAATAAACCAAATACATGCTAATACGTGTATTAAAATAAATAAATATAACAATGTCAGCACATCAAATAATACCATATGTCACAAATAATACCATATGTCACGTCAACCATCTGCTTCAAGAAATGCAAACATTTTGATTCTTAAATTAGCGGTGTTCAATGAATTTTTAACGCACTTACAATCATTATCAAATTCGTTCGCATACAATTGTCAATATTCTTTGATAAAATGGAAATATAAAAAGTCCAGCAATATCAAATAATGTCAAAATAATTGCAATAGTTATTTGACATTGCTTGACTTCCTATAGATATTTATTGTGACTAATAACATTTATGATAAATCATACCTGTTAAATATAGACTTCAAGTTTGAGTTATGGAAATGGACGACAAGGCAAGAATACGCAAAGAAAACTATCTATTAGAGAATATCGACATTTGTATGCAAGCGAATTTCTATTAACAATTTTAAGTACGTTAAATAGCCACTGAAAATAACTGTTAATTTAAAAAATTTGTATTTCTTAAAGCAGATCGCCTTAATATAATTCAATGTGTTGACATTATTATTTATCTATTTTAATACAGTACGTATTAGCCGTATTTTACTTATACACTTATACACTTTTACGTATTACACATATTTTAATAAATGTATATATCCAGCTTGACTCATTAGCCCCCTTATTAGAAAGCAATTAATAATGTTATTAATGCATCGATAATATTAGATTACTCGTAAGGATTATCTGATATAGTAAATGGCTCCGTCGGAAGAATTCCACTATCGTAGATTATTACAGGCACGAGTGGAATGTCATCGCTATCTGTTTTGGTCTGTTCGATCTTGAAAACCACAGCTTCCCCGCTAACCACCTACAGAAAGAATTGTTTAACGAAAAGATGCATATAAAAGACGCATATAAAAGATTTAAATAATCATTCATAATACTATAATAAATTATAGTAAAAAAGTTGTTTAATAGTTATCCATATTGAATTATTTTTTTAATAATATGTCGTTAAACACAAGCAAATAATAAATTAAATATGATGTAATTTTATATATTTTTTATTACTTTTCCAAATGCAGTATGATGATCGTCTAGCCAAGGAGTTGCTACAGTAGTGATGAAAAATTGACAACCGTTCGTGTTCTTTCCAGCGTTTGCCATGCTGACGAACAATGATCCGCTATGTTTCACCTCGAATGTTTCATCATCGAAATATTTTCCGTAAATACTAATGGAACCAGTACCATCGCCATTTTCGACGTCGCCACCTGTAATATATGCGTAATCACAAATTTAAATAATAATTTAGTGTGTGCAATAAAAAATAAAAAATAATTTCTTATCGGAAGAATAGAAGCGTTACCTTGAATCATGAATTTCTTTACCACGCGATGAAATTTGGTCCCTGTGTATTTCTTTCCAGCTACACCAGTGGAAGCAAAAGTGATAAAGTTTTTCACCGTTTTAGGCGCAATGTCGCCGAACAAACCAATAACAATCCTACCAACTGGATGATTATCAATCATGATATCGAAGTATATTTGATCAGTGACTCTAAATGTTTCTGCCTGAAATGGAAATTTTTTTAAAACATTTACTTGTCTTTCACGTAGATCTTACGTAATGATTATTTATTACAATAAAAATAAAAGCAAGTTTAATATCTACGAGTTTTAATTAATATCTAAATATTAATTAAAATGAAAGAAAAAAATTGATATAATAATATTCTTTTTAATGTAATAATATAATTTTCTTATAGGAGTATAAATTAATTATACTATATAAATGATAAAGAATATAGAAAATAAGTTTCTATTAAAAGTAAAATAAGACTGTCTCTCTCATACACGTTTTATTTTAATAACTAAAAGAACAAAGACTACTAAAAAGCGACAATTTTTTTAATAGCTTTAAAATTGTAAAGAAATTATGTTCTTATCAACTAGTTTTCTTATCAAACGTCTTTAAAAGTACGGGAAGGTCATAAAGGCACACAGAAGTAGTTCACGTTTCGAGTAGAATAAGTAGAATAAGTAAATATCTAATAAGTAGGGATTATAAAATTACATAAGTGAAAGATATGCAAAACAAGTAAAATATATTCTTATATGTTACCTTGAACCAATTTAACGATCAAATTTTGCGGAATACGTTTGCTGTAAGTATATTTTATAAATAAAAAGGTAAGTATATTTTATAAATAAAGCACACAGAAGTAGTTCACGTTTTGAGTAGAATAAGTAGAATAAGTAAATATCTAATAAGTAGGGATTATAAAATTACATAAGTGAAAGATATGCAAAACAATTAAAATATATTCTTATATGTTACCTTGAACCAATTTAACGATCAAATTTTGCGGAATACGTTTGCTGTATATTTTATAAATAAAAAGGAGATATATACGCATACGCTCGGAAACATTTTGTTATCATGTTACATTTATCTGTCGGAATAATACAATATGGTGATAAAATACTGGTTAAACATTGCTTAAAAATGTTTACTCATCCAATTGTAAAACGAATACACGTGCAGTTTGGTAACGTTGCTAATAAAAAATATAGCAAGCAATGGTATCATCACATATTCCTGCCACATTGTAATTGATATTGAAAGACTGATTATCGCAAGCATATAAATGTTCTTCCGCTTAAATTAGTTTATGTGAAAACTGAAAGCACTTTTTATCAGTCTCACCTCATTTTCCTTTTTAATGAAAAATATTTTCATGGTGTATTAATATAATACTGATATATATACTGATGAAATGTACATATTGATACTTTGAGACCAATACAAGGCCGTTTATTCATCAGAGCCTTTCAGACGATTTCCTTCAATGATGTCAAATGATAAACACAGCTAGACTACAAAAAAAGAATCAAATCGCTTATCTCTCATTATAATATATTAACGACAAACCCGATGTCATGTTTAATATCTTTGTAATTGTAACATTAAAAAAAATCGTTTCCGGACCTGTAATTTCTATACATATGTAACATTTATATAACATAATTTTTATTTCTACTATACATACATAGATCGAACTATCATCAAAATTTTATTTAACGTTACCTAATGCTTACAATAAAGTTTTATTTTTTTAATTATATTTTGTTTTAAATATAAACTGATTTCAATGCAATCACAAAAAATCACATTCGATGTTGTTATATTTCATAAAAATTTTGAATGTGTCGTAAATTCTATCTGCTTTAAATATTGCAAGTGTTGATTTTGAATCTAATAAAAGTGATATAGAATAGGGCCATTAATTTAACGCGTATTCGCAACAGTCGTAGTGGCTTGTATTTAAAGTGACATACACATCCACGGCAGAATTATTCGCGTGCAAAGTTGCACGATTGATGCACGTGTTCATGCGTCTATCGAAGCGACCAAAGAAACCTTATGATGTCTGAAGGTAGCACGTTCGTCTGACCTATTACTATTATCTATTTATTTCAGCTATATAAAGTAACATTTTTCCAAACTTCAAATTAAATAAACAATTTATTGCAAAATAACGTCCAAATTTATCATGTCAATACATGTTACGACGAATACAGAATCTTTATCATCGGATTCACGAATAATGTCTTATAGAATTTCACGAAAAGATATCCGTAATAAAAATTCAGTGCCCAAAATAATGTTTTGCGATTAGATTCCTCTTTTTTATTTTATGAAAGTATATGCAATGCAAAGTGTTAATATTGCAATGCCTTGAAAATATCGTAATTTGACACACAATTACATAGATAAAAGAATAGAAGCTCTTCTAATGCAACAATCAATTATTTTCTACGTTAAACGGTTAGAATTATACATATAACGGTATTTAAAAAATGCAGTTGGGGATAATATAATAAAATTGTTTTAAGCACACACAGCAAACGGTACCTTAATGGACGAGGCAACAGCCACGAAAACGACGATCGTCAATAGGCACTTCATACTTTTACGATTTTGTCCCAAATGATGTCCTGATGCACACGTTGCAGTGTTGCTTTTTTTTTAATCGGTTATTAAGCTGCGATCATGATTGCGACGTAGCGGTGCAAGAATGATACAAGGAGGATGTACAGTAGAAGCCGCGTGTCTGCCCGCGATTTGCGCTGTCGCGTCGTCGAGAGCTGCGTCGGCGCTCTAAATTAAATAAAGTAGCCGAGCATTAATGGATCATTTGCAATAACGAATTCTTACAAGGAACAATAATATTTAAAGTCTATAGATAATCTTGTAACTTAAAAAAAGATCAAATAAAATATATAAATTTCAAAAACTCTAGCATTTATTTTTTTGTATAATTATTTTAAAGGTTTCTTCTTGTGCATGTATATAGAATTCTATAAATTATAAAAATTAAAACGCTAAAAACGATGAATTCTATGTTGTATATTTCCTCTTGATTTCTTAATTATAGCAGTTTTACGACTTTATGAAGACGAAAAAGTAAAGAAATTTGATATCAAAAAGAAGATAAAATTAATAAATTAATTAAAAATTTGTATATATCTTTTTATTCATTTAACTTTTTCCAAATTGCTCAACGAATTTACGAGTTCGATAAAAGAATTTAACCAAACTCTGCTGTAAATAATATCGACAGTGTCGGTCTGCCTGTATATATATATATATATTTGGCGCGAGACATTACTAAGTCTCTTGATTAAGATGCTTAATTTAAATGTCAATGATTACAAAGTGTCTAACGAAAGAAGACTTCCTTTTTCAATTATTTCTTTGATCGATTAGAACATGAAATTTTACATCGCGATTTTTTGAATATCGATAATGTTGTTAAGCATAAATAAACGTACTCTATATAAAAATATCGGCAACCGACGCGTGTTGTTCGACTATATGCTAAATAAAAAAAACTTTTAGCTATTGTCCGTTTAGCTATTGTCCTTCTACCATCCAGTACACGTATCCATTTCGATGTGAATTTGCGACGACCGTAACGGATTCGACAGTCTTCGTATCCTCGATCGGGTGATTCCGTTACTCTCGCTCACCGGTCGGCGCCGCGTATTATAAAAGCCGTGTACATTCCGTTTTCAGAACAGTTTTGGCGAAAATGAGGAACAGCGGGCAGTTACGGACAGTGAACATGAAGTGGGTGACGTTGACGACGTTAGCCATCGTCGTCTTCGTTGATGCAACCCGTTTCGTGGATCCTGTATCAAAGGAACCTGTGCCAGATTATTTCGGGGATGGTATTGAACAAATACATAAAAGAAACACTGCGCTGAAAGCTGTTTACGAGGGGGATCAAGTGTGGAGGCTCTACAAGCATAACGATACGATAGTGAATAATTATGTGGACGAATACGAATCATACGGTTGTACGTAATAAATAAAATTTTTATTAAAACATAATTTTATCTCTCATTCGCGCGCAAAATGGATGTGAGATATTATTAAGAATCGTAGAAGGTTAAATAACTAAACAGATACTTTTTTTTTATATAGCATTTTCGATATGGTCAAATCAACCATCGTCTGTCGATATTTTCGTAAAAAGCCAAATGCTTGATACCGTTGAAACGCATCTCAGACAAAGTGGGATAAAATATGACGTGCTGATCGAAGATGTTCAAAGAGCGATCGAAGAAGAGAATGTTCCTCTTTCGGTACAAATGGCAGCTGATCTTGAAGGACGCAAAGGTTTGACGCTTTTATTACAATCATATTAATTAAACTTATTATTATAACTTTAATAATAATTTATTATTATAATTTTAATTTTCTAATTGATATATTATAAAATCATTTAGCGATAATCACAAGGAAGACAAAAATTTTATTCAAAGTTATTATATAAATAATAATAATAGTATAATTAATACCTACGTAAAGAAACATTTATTGATATATTTGTGCATTACTGAATGCTTTTGATAATTTTCATTAAAAGCTTACACTTTGGGTCATTTATCGCTGCTTATCGTTTATGCTTCAGTATGCTCCTGCATCACTATCTCTATCATTTTTCTTCGCTTTTTGACAGTCACATTAGTAATAAAAAAAAGCAACTAGCTTATAATTAGACTTGTTCCGTTGACACTCATGAAAGTCACGAAAGAAGCTATTGTTTGGTCGTTACTTTAATCGATCGCGTAGCAAAGGAAGCTAATGAAAATGAATCGATAATCCTTATTTGGAACTACATTCGAAAGTGATTTATTACAAGTCATAGTTTGATGTTAATTTTGGACTTAGATTAATTTAAATTAATTTAAATAATATAAATAGTTTAAAAAATTTCCGTTTATATAAATTATAATTTATTAAAAATTGTAAACTAAATAAAAAATCAAAATAAATTCTTAAAGAATTAACAACATTCCAATATTCTAATTAATTATTTTCGATTATTTCTTATAATTAGATTAAATTATTGTATTTGTAATAATTGTCGTACAGAGGGTATAGTAAATACTCTCTACATGATGTCCAATTATTACTAAACACTACGGTCAAACTTTATATTTACATATATATGTATATATATACATATATGTGTGTGTGTGTGTGTGTGTGTGTGTGTGTGTGTGTGTGTATAAGTTCAATATTTTAATATTAATGCGTAAACATATAATAAAGTTCTTACCTCTATTATACAATTTTAATACATTTTGGATAGTTAATCTAATATTTCCTAAAGATTAATGAGGTAGTGCTGGAGACAAAAGGGAGAAGCTCAACGAGAAATAATCGGTCTATAGACCGTCGATTCGATGTTTATATTAGATATCGAATCGATGTCTACCCAAGTAGAAAGATGCTGTCAAATGAAGTTTCTATCTTATTGACGTCATTAAGACGTCATTTGACGTTATTTTGCCACTTGGGTAGACATCGTTTCGATGTCTAATATGAATTATGAACATAACATGTCTATAGACCGATTATTTAAATTCTCGTTAAAGGACAAAAGAACAGTTGTTACGTCGTAAATATTTCAGAAATTATAATAGATATGTGTGTGACCACAAAGCGAGATACACTATATATAGATCGGTATTTGTTTATTAGTTTCCTGTTTTGCGAAATGTGCACGAATGTAGAAGCAGAAGTTATTTTTTTCATTCAAATAAGTTTTAATGAGTGCACAAAATTAAAAATTTTTTTTTATAACGAAAATACAATATATTATCTTAACATATTTTAGTGATTATTGGTGTTGATAATTTGCTTAGTTTAATTAAAACTTTTACTTACATACATATTTAATAAAATTACTTATATGAATCATAAAATATTATTAGATCAATATATAGTAACATTATTATCTGAAAATAATTGTAGCATAGGAATTATCGTTAAAAAATAAAGAAAATAGATTTTTATGTGTGGTTGTTTCTCTATTTTAATTTTTATATTCATTATTAGAAAAAGAAGCCGTTTTTATTCAATTCTGTTACTTATAGTTAATTTCTTAAATATATGTGATTTTGGTTAAATAGTCTTTAAGTTAAGAAGAAGAAGTTATTATTCGTTTTCACTTGTTTATGTGAAAAAATACCTAATAAATAATTATCACATTATTTCGTTCATAAATAATGTGACACAATTGTTTCTTTCTACTGTTACAATCGTTCTTATCGTTACAATCGTTACTATCGTAACAGTAATTCTCACGTTATTTAAATTTTTTTCCCAGTTATATTTTAGAATTTTATATAAGAAAATTTTGTAGCCAAACAAATTCTGC